AAATAAACCCGATCTATGCAAGTAAAAATAGAGGGAGGTAACGCAGCAATGAAATTTCGTGATGGCAACTTCCATTACTTTTGAATTAGACAAATCGCGACACCAGGAAAATAACAAGCCTGGCTTCGCGTGACAATCATGCGCGATAAACTGATTTCACTTTGTTTTTCTGCATTTGCGACCGCGCGAAAAGCGTATAGTCGAAAAGCGCGATCTCCTGACTGGTTAAAAGCTTAGTGCGGACATTGTTTTCTGAACAAATAAGTGGCGAAAAGATAGCACCTGTGTGAAAAGCATCGAAGGCTGGAAGGAAATCGCACTCTCGACCTTAAACTCGCTGTGGTTTAGGGGCTCTTTGAATGTTAAACCTGCCTTAAGTAGACATACTCTTTTACAATTTGACGTGCACTATTACCTATCTCGGAGTTCTGCTCTCTTCCGAGGTTGTTGTACATTACTTTCGTTTTCCGCAGATTACTTTTAAGACACACCTTTCTGCTCTCCTTGTCTAACTCAGTAATTATGAGTTACAATTCGTCCCGTGAGTTACTCAGCAATGAAATGTCATCGGCGAAGCGCAGGTTACTAAGGTACTCTCCATTAACTCTGATCCCCAACTGTTCTCAATCTAAGCTTCTGAAAACCTCCTGCAAGCACGCGGTAAATAACAATGGGGAGATTCTGTCCCCCTGCCTTACACCCTTCTTGATTGGTATTCTGTTGTTTTTTTATGAAGCACTATGGTAGCAGTTGATCCCCTGTAGATTTCTTCCAGGATGTTTATATGTGCTTCATTGACGCCCCGATTCCGCAGTGTCTGCATGACTGCTGATATTTCTACTGAATCAAACGCCTTCTCGTAATCAATGAAGGCTATGTATAGTGGTTGGTTATATTCTGAGCATTTCTCTATAACCTGATTGATAGTATGAATGTGGTCGATTTTTGAGTAGCCTGTTCGAAATCCTCCTTGTTCCTTTGGTTGATTGAATTCTGATGTTTTATTTACTCTGTTAGCAATTACCTTTGTAAATAGCTTGTATACTACAGAGAGCAAGCTGATCGGCCCGTACTTCTTCATGTGCTTGTCATCTCCTTTCTTACTTATTAGGATGATGTTAGCATTCTTCCAAGACTCCGGTATTCTTCCCGTCAGTAGACACCTCGTAAACTGGGTGGCTAGTTTTTCTAGCACAATCTGCCCTCCATCTTTCAGCAGATCTAATGTTACCTTATCCTCACCAGCAGCTTTGCCTCTTTGCATGTTCTCCAAAGCTTTTCTGACTTCTTCTATCATTACTGGTGGGGTGTCATCTGGGTTACTGCTAGTTCTTATAGTATTAAGGTTGTGGTTGTCCCGGCCACTGTACAGATATTTATAAAACTCCTCCGCTATTTTACCTATCCTATCCATATCGGTAGTTATTTTGCCTTCTTTGTCCTTTAGTGCATACAGTCGATTTTTGCCTATACCAAGTTTTTTCCTTCACTGCTTTTACGCTTCCTCGTTTTTTCAGAGTGCGTTCAATTTTCTCAATGTTATACCTTCTTACATCAAATACCTTACGCCTAATAATCAACCTCGAAAGCTCTGCTAGTTCTGTTTTGTCTCTTGTACTTGAGACTTTCATGATTCGACGCTTCTTAATCAGATTCTTTGTTTTCTCGGAAAGCTTGCCAGTGTCCTGTCTAACTACCCTGCCTCCAACTTCCACTGCGCAGTATGTCTACTTAGGGTAGGTAGTAGCCGCGGAGCAGAACCACGAGACTGAAGTAACTAGAAGAATAAGAATGGGGTGGAGCACATTTAGCAAGCACTCTCAAACTATGACAGGCAGATTGCCACTATCCCTCAAGAGGAAGGTATATAACAGCTGTATCTTGCCAGTACTTAGCTACGGAGCAGAAACCTGGAGACTTACAAAGAGGGTTCAGCTTAGAGTGAGGACGACACAGCGAGCAATGGGAAGAAAAATGATAGGTGTAACCTTAAGAGACAAGAAGAGAGCAGAGTGGATTAGGGGACAAACGGGGGTTAAGGATATCATAGTTGAAATAAAGAAGAGCAAATGGACATGGGCCTGGCATGTAGCGCGTAGACAGGATGACCGCTGATCACTAAGTGTAACTAACTGGATTCCCAGAGAAGGTAAGAGGGTTATGGGGAGGCAGAAAGTTAGGTGGGCAGATGAAATTAAGAAGTTTGCGGGTTTAAAATGGCAGCAGCAAGCACAGGACCGACTTGACTGGCGAAATATGGGAGAGGCCTTTGTCCTGCAGTGGACGACGTAGACATAAAGATGATGATGATGATGTTGTTGATGATAATGATGATGATGAAATACTAGGCTATCACTCCACCTCGAATCCTGAGAGATTTTTTAAAAAAGAAGGGCGAAAGATCTCACTGACAGAGTCGGCTGAATGACCGTCGTTTAAATTACGATTAAGTCAACGCAGGCGTTGAGGGCACAGACACCGCAGTGTGCGGTGCAGTGAATCGAGTTCCAATAAAGCTGATTTGTCATTGGCAGGTGAAGATTACAGTTAGACCGGTCGCAAGATCAGAAAGAAGCACTAAATTGACGCACTTATTTTTCACGGTTTGCTCAGTTCTGTAAAACGCAGTTGGCACCTCGCTAAAGAGCGTGGAGCCCAACAACGAACCCGTATTAATCTTGCCGACAAATGCGCAGCCCGTGGAGAAGACCTGTACATCCCTGAATAGGCTCGTCGAACTGCATAGAGCCTGACTAGACTGCAGTCTCATATTCGGCAGTGTGGCAAAACGAGAACGAAGCTGCCGCCTGTCCGAATCCACGCTGAAATTTCGTTCAAACAGAAAGTTGGAGTGTGTGTGAAGGCACAAACGTTGTGCATGCGACCTACCATTTCGAATCTGCTTCCATATGCAAATCAATATCGCACACCAGGCTGAATGTTGCGGATCATAAAAAATAAAAAAAAAACTTTACCCCCCTCTGTTCCTTTGACGCCTTTTCAAAGCCACGGTGGGCGTTTAAAGACGGCCCTTTCACCTTTACTATAGCAGTTCAGACGGGGCCATTCTTCTCTGTTCTTTAGGTGAATGGCGTGTGCGGTACCGAAGCAGAGTTTAGAGCTCGGTCTAGTTCGTATTCCATCGTAAACTTGCGCGCAGTGCACAGACAAACATGAAAGGACTGAAGGAATGAGAGCGCTCGACTTCGTCATTCTTCTCTGTATTTTCGTCCCTGTCTGCGGTGGAAGCTTTTGTTGCACTGGGAGCATTGGAAGCTGTGAGTAATGCGCCTAGCGTAGAGCATGTGTATAAGGCGAGTCAACTGGTGGTTAAGGTTAAGGATGTTGTAGGTAGCTGGAGGATCTAGCCTTGCATAATTTGCAGGCAATTGCCCCTCCCTGTTTCCTTTTTGCTAATTGTAGCTAATATCCTTTATTTGTTTTTTAACTAAGCACGGTGAAATCATTGTAGTTCATCTTTCGAAACACTGAGCGATAGATAAGCTGTCTACGTGAAATATACGTATAGGCGAACATTCGTGCTTCTGATTTAAATGAAAACGAGATGAACCTAGTGATTCCTGCTGCACCACGTGACCATTGGCGTGGGCACGGGGGGGGGGGGGGAGGGGAGAGGTTGGCGCAGAGTCAGCCCTTTATATTACCATGCACTTCAACCCACACTTCACCCCCCCCCCCCCCCCCTGGGAGAGAACACTGCACACGCTTATGCAGGTAACTTAGAACCGTCACGACAGCTATGCAAAATGTTACAAAGCCATCTTAAGGAAGAACGAGGAAGTTTGTTCCACACTCGGGGAAATGTTTCAAGACCACTTTCTTTCGGAACAGTGCTGACTTCTTTCACCAGCTGAGATTGTGACTGTTTCTTTGAAAAAAAAAAGTCATGGACACTTTTAACTCAATAATAATAATATGGGGGGTTTAAAGTTCCAAAACCACCATATGATTATGAGAGACGCCGTAGTGGAAGGCTACGGAAATTTTGACCGGCCAATTTTAACTCGCCCACCACATAAAATAGCAAACGACTATTAGATGACAATTTTCATCGAGTTACGTAAAAAAAAACAACGTTTCTTTAAGCACATGTTCTCTTTAATAAAATGCAAAAAATGCGAGATTTAGGCCTCGCATATGAGCAGGCATTCCAATACCATAGGTAAGAGAAGAAGCGAAGAATAATTGATTGTGAAAATGTAACACAAAGAAGGCCATCACATAATTGCAATGTGCTAACAGAGCAGCTACATGGATTGTGCAGGGGACAAATATTGTTTGACTAAGACAACAACAACAAAAATATGAGCTGGTTCTGTAAACGTAGAAGTACAAATCTTATTTCGCATTAAAGGGAATTTTACGAATTCACCGTGTGATAGGACATGGCGTTGTCGTCTGCATATTAAATTTTCGTTTGTCTATAGATATATAACAGCTGCATGAAGCACCCGCAGGATCTTTACATAAAGGGTTCAAACATTGTTGAGGACACCTCAATGAGCCAGAAAAAGAATGAAAGGTATGACTTTAGAAGACAAGAAGAGAACAGATCACGTGTCAGAGAACAAATGTTTAACGACATCCGATATAAAGAAGTGCGCGTGGACATGGTATGCAGCGAGGAGGCAAAGTGACTGCTGCTCATTCAAAGTGATAGAATAGACTTGAAGAGAAGGCAAAAGCTCTAAGATAAAGCAAAAAGTTAGGTTGGTATGCGAGCTCAAGAAGTTAAATTGTGGGAATAATGATGTAGCCAATGAACATAAGACTAGTGAACTGGAGAAAAGTGGGACATGCCTTAGCCCTGTGGTGTGTATGATTATAGGCTTCTGACGACTGTGCCGGGGCATGACCATCCTCTAAGCACTTCTTGTACGCAGAGAAGTGCGCTTATCTACAAACCTCAGACGACTTCAAAATAACTCTTATTGCTGGTCATAGTATACGCTCGTCTCAATTGGGCGACTGCGATTTACCTTTGGCGAGTGAAGCGTCCGACTCGGCCAACGAGATGTCCAGGGAGGCGATGATGTGCGCGCACGGCTTGCGAAGAGCCCTTCCCGCTTCCGTCGGCGGCCAGCAAGTGAAGGAGTCCCAAGCCGACGGGCAACCTTGTGCAAGAACCATAGCGGTTTCACGTAGCAGCGGCTGCTGGCTCGGATGTTCCGGGCCGGCTGTGTGACGCAACGAGATTGGTTCCATTGCCGATGAAACTCCTGCGTGCACAAGAAGAAAAGAAACGTTGAGATTATGTGCAGTAAAAGAAAAGAGAATCATGTTTTCACTACAAGGGCGAAGCAATGAATACGATAGTAACAAACTGGAATGTCATATGAAGAGCGGCTAGCGGCTAGATCTTTTCAATCCGTGAGTGCAAAACAATAGTTTAAGCGAATACAGCCATGCTGTACGTCACCTCAAAGGAAGTATGTGATGATAGCGCAGCATGTACAAGGGTACGTAAGCCGCCTGCCGATGTCAGTCGAGAGAGAGCGCGCGCCAGCTCTCACAACGGCTCCCCCCTCTTTTTTTTTTTTTGAATCAAAGTTCGCACTTTCTGCTCAAGCGATGAAGCCCACGCACCACCGCTCTTTCATGCTCCTTCGCACCACGAAAAACGGACGGGATGTTTCCACTCAGCTTGAAGAGCCATAGTGGTAGGTTTCGCATGGGGAATAATTTTATCGAATGCACCCTTCGTGCGACGGAGACGGCCAGCTCCTTACATATCTCCGCTTGACAAGCGTTCATCCCCAGCGCTCCGGTGCTTTTGCACGCACGATGCGCGAGGCAATGTTATCGATGTGGACTTTATACAGAACACGACGTTAATGGCGATGGCGAAAATCAACCGAGAGCTAATACCCCTATAATTGCTATTGTAATAAAAAGATAGAAAAGGGCAAGTGTGCGCACTAAATGCCAATTAGTATTTCAATTCAGAAACGTCATTGGTGTCTTTGACGAACGAAAATTAGCGTATACAAAATATATGGGTCTGGAGAATTACCGCGCCAGAGTGTCGTCATCACCTCCACGAGCAAAAGAAAGGAATGGAGAGAGGGAGAAACTGCACTAGGGCGAGGACAAGGAGGTTCAGGCATGAACTATGCGAACGTGTTTCTGTCGCGGAAACGTGAACAGAGGGCAGCTGATGGTGACACTCCATTGCGGTACTTCTCCGGACTTTTCTTTCATGTAATTTTTGTTTGCTCAGCACAGCGACGACATACCAAAAAGCGCACGCCTCTGATTAAAACGTCTTTTGTTCCTCGACAATGTCCATTACCCATTGTTATTAACAGCGAATGAATCAGTTGAAATACTATTTTTTTACTAATGTAGCACCAACCACATTCAGTGAAACTAAAGTGGATGATTGGGCGGGTTGGTACGACATGGCGAAAAAGAAAGAGCGCGATAAACGGGAGACCAGACGAAGAAGGTCACATACAACGCTCTGTATGTGTCCTTTGCCTGGTCTCTCGTTTTTCGCGCTGTTTCTTTTTCATTAAGTAAACGCCTAGATGATCAGTGGACGCTTTGCAACGCGGCATTTGAAGAACATTGCAAACATTGCATTGTTCAGGAGCATAGGGGTGCACACATGGGGTTCAGGGGTGGTTCCAATATCTCGCTGTTACACCTAACATCACCACTATGACGGTTGCCGTCTCCAGCGAAGTTCTTTGTGGACTTGCCAGGGACTACACAGAGTTTCGAATCCTTTCATACCGAAGCCTTTCTCCGATTTCTGACGTCCTGATTCAGAAGCCCCGTTCCCCGCCCTCTTTCCAGCTCGCTCGCCGGTGGTAACAACCCACGCGAGGTTGGTACTGACGGCAGCTGTAAGAGGAACGCCCGCCATTGACAAGCTAGCGGTGCGGCAGAATGGCATATGTCGTTGATGTGGCAACACTGAACACTGACTTGTTCCGAAGACCCTTTCACGGACTTCCAGCCAGGAGGGCTGCCTACTCGTGAAAGACTTCGCCCGGGCTTCGTAAAAGCTGCTATTGCTGATCGTCAGCTAAGAGCCATCGCCACTGCTTCATTAGTTAGAAGGAAAGTCGCGCTGGGTGTGGGGAGGGGGTATGTTGTAACGTGCTCCCCAGCTCATCTGACAAAGCTTCGCACGAAAAAGCGCTGTTCGATATTGACGAAGAAGGAAATCGAAGTTCGGTGAAAAGAAGAAAAAGCTTTATTATAGCGAAACACGGACCCAAGTGGGCGCAAAGGCCCGACAGTGCTATATAGTCACACGTACATTTCCATGCCCGCCTCTTCCATGTTCTAGTTCTTTCTTCTCATCGGTATTTCTCCTCCAACTCACTTTTTCGTAGAAAGTAGCCTACAGGACACTATGCACATACCCCAGGAAATTTAAGGCGAACATTTGGCAGGTCTGCCTAGTTGGCATAGGAACGAGGCAATTAGAAAACTCCAACCAAACACTGCATTCAGGAACCCGACGTTTCGAAGCCGAACCGGCTTTTTCCTCAGGATTGAGAAAGCCAGATATGTGTTGCGCCTATATATACGCTTGCCCGCCTTGCATTAGAGGTTCGCCGCGACCCGTCACAAACCCTGGCAGTAGAGGGAGGGCAATGTCCCCGTGGAGCGGTTGGTGTCCCCCGCTGTCTGCTGAATGTGCCAGGATTCGATGAGTAGTCGCCAGCGGGTGTTCATTTCTTTTTTTTCCAGAATCACTGCGTCGTCCAGGTGAATGTGGTGGTCAAAGCACTCGCAGTGTTCCGCTATACTGCGCTCCGTTGGCTGTCAAATTGAGGGACGGTCGTTCTTGTGCTCTCGTATTCTTTCATGGAAGTTCCTTGTTTCCCCAATGTAGGAAGTGGGACAGTCGGCGCACTAAATCAGGTATACGATGCCGAGATTTTTCCGCAGGTGTGCTAAATTCGGGCCGAGAAATGAAGCTGCCAATAATGGTGGATGGCTTGAGCGAGACGTTGACCCCTGTCTTTATCAGTATCATGTGTGGCTTCTAAACTTCGGGTTTCGGAATACAATATTTTGGTTAGAGCTTTCTATTCGCCTAACTCTGGAGATTTACGTAGATTTCAATTTTATTGCAAATATGCTTATCACAAATATAAACTTCTTAAACCAAGCATTCAATTAAGATGATCGGCTTAAGCTACACTTGTTGAATTTTGACGGTGTTGTTTTCCATTACGCCTAGATTGTAAATGGTGAAGTCAATTTAGAATACAAACGGACACCAGCACGTACTAAGGACTAAAGTGTTATTAAAAAACGAAAAAAAAATGTAACAGGTAATGAAGCCATCGCGTGCATAAAAGAATCTCGGAAATGAACTACGTGTGTGCATTAAGATAACAAATCTCTGCTTTGTGTGAGACGATAGGAGGGTTGACGACACAGTTGGTAACAAATAAAATAAGCTGAAAAAAATTCACGGGTAGTGCATTCCTTAGGGAATACAAAAATTCGGGTGCACATTAGGAATCACCAGGTGGTCGAAACTTCTGGAGCGCTTTATTACGGCGTTCCTCTTCTTCAGTTTGGGGCGTTCAGGGACGAAAAGACCCAATGACTTCACATCCTAACTGCAAAATATTGTGGCCTAGATTTCGTTGCAAGCGACATGGTCGCCGCAGCCACTATCAGGTCTTTCATCATTGCTATATCAAGAGAGATAACAGATCTTAAAATTGTAAAAAAAAGGAAACCAGAAATGAAAATCACACCCGTGGCGTGCAGCAAAGCAGAAGAAAAAAAAATTACATCATGAGAGTGAAGAGATATGTGATACCGATATATATATATATATATATATATATATATATATATATATATATATATATATATATAAATAATATATAATAAATAATATATATATATATATATATATATATATATATATATATATATATATATATATTTATGTGTGTGTGTGTGTTAAGGCGCCACACTAAATATGTATAAGGAAATGACGCAACGTAATAAAGATTTTGACGCATAATTGTTCCTTTCTCATGGCCGAAATCTTCATTTATCTAGCGTCAAATTGAATGTTTCTGGTTTGGAAATCACATTCCCCATTCCCGCGAGATCCCCTATTACCGTGAAAGAGACAGCTTAACCAAAACGAAAGTTGGATATCCGCAGAACAGCGCAGACTCACTTTTCAATGAAGGCCAGATTTTCATAATAAAGAAAAAAATTATAGTGAAGTAAAGAATGGGCTCAGGGGAGAAGATATGCATTCTGGACTGGGCCATGGCAAGTGTCAGAGGATTGTCCGAACGCACCTGCTCCATCTTTTCTTTTTTAGAGGGATACCGGCCACGCTTTTTGTTTTTACCCCGTAAAAAATTGGCCATCTCACGCTGGAACCGGACCGCCAGAAAATGGAACACCCAAAGAGGGCATTTGTTTTCTGTCAAGAAAATAGCGAAGCAAGAAATGACAAATATAGACATAGACAGGCGTTCTACATACTGCACGTCGGTTATTAGAGGGAGATTCCACCCATTCCGCGGTTTCACTGCGAGACGGTTTTCTTTTTCTTTTTCAGGCAATTGCCCCATCGCTCGTTAGCAGAGGCGCAGGGAACCATAATTTATAGCGAGCCGGGTCTTTTACTGTAGCTGCCGGCAACGTCCGCTTTGTATGGAAAGACACTTAGTTGCCGAGAAAAAAAAGAAACAAGGAAGAATTCCAGTGAGCGCGGACGCCAATTTGTTTCATTTCAGTATTCGTTGCAGTGACAGTTTCCCAGTTCCGGAAATGAAGAAAAAGGGGTTGGACGAGACGGTGCTCCGGGAACAGTCATACCCCCAAATTTGACAGCTAACTTCATCTGTGGGGGGAACAAAGAGCTTCCGACAGATGCCACGCATGGAGGAATCAGTTAACTGCGAAACATCCAGCGAGCAGTGGTGTATAATGTACTTTATTTATTACGGCGTAGCTGTTGGCGTAGATTAGCCATGCTATATAAACTTTCGGTGTAGCAGAACCACCCCTTGTAGGCTAAACATTTTAGACATTTAGTCTTTCATTGCACGTATTGTACTCCCAGTCTAACAGGTATGGAGATTGTGCACAAGTAACGCAACAAACAAGAGAAATACTCGAGACAACGGTAATCAATAAATAGAAAGACAAAAGGGTCACTTGCCACTCTGTATCATTCTTTTGAAAAAAAAAATCCCACCGATACCTTGGTCTGTGGCCCACCGCGGTGGCCTAGTGCTCACCCGAAAGTCACAGCATCGAATCCGGAGGCAGCGGCTGAATTTTCAATGAAGGCGGGAATGTTTAGGGCCCGTGTACTTAGATTATAAGACTATAATAGACTATAATAATAAGAGTATGTAATCATATTACTATTATTATGTTTATTATTATTATTATTATTATTATTATTATTATTATGATTATTATTATTATTATTATTATTATTATTATTATTATTATTATTATTATTATTATTATTATTATTATTATCTTTTTAAGGTATATCTTTCTTTACCCCCTCCCTCTCCTTACGTATTGACCGTAGTGATCGTTCGGGGCACTTTAATAGATGAGTTAGGAAAAGGACTAGTGAATTCCTAATAAAATGTTTTAAATGTTAGCTATGTACTCATGGCCCTATTAGCGGCTGCAAAATGTAGGCATAAATGGTGCGTGTGCGTGGTAAGCTAGAAACGGACAATGTACATATGCCGTTAGTGTTTTTTTCGTCCTACTAACAGGATACTCAACCAATTTAAGTAACCGACCCGGCAGTTTCCTGCAAAACATCAAGGAAAGTCCCGACGTTGTGAGCCAGATTTGAGCGTTGACGAATTCGGCTTTCTCAATATTTCAAGCTTTACAAGCCTGCTTCCGTTAATATGTTTATAGTATCAGCCCTTCGTAGTGCATACAGGCGAGTCACAAGGGAATCACGTCCGCTGTATCTCATCGAGTTGATACAATATGCGGGAACATGCTCACAGGGCCTCGCAAAGGCTCTACAGTATTTAAGTCTGCTTTTTAAATCCCATTCTTAGTTTTTTTTTCTCTGCAGGTAGCGCGAAACATTACCAAGGACACGTGCAGAGAGAAACAGTCACATAGTGCTTGCTTGGTAGAGAGAGAGAAAACACAAGGAGACATACAGGGAGGTTCACCAGGGCTGAGCCCCGGTAGGCTACTCTGCACCGGGGAAGGGGAGAGGGGGAAGGAAAGTTATAGAAGAAGAGAGTTTCGTACTATGCCTACCATGATGAATCATTACCAACTAGTCCGATCGAACTGCCCCCTTTTCGAGTTTAAAATTCGGCCGACAGACGAAATGCGCAAGCCATTAATCATGTAATGCAGATGGCAGTGTCACTTTCTCAGCCTTTCAGTTGCCGGGGCATTGAGGCGCATCGCATTCACTGCGAAGCGACGCAGTCAACAAGCAACCGCACTGAACAAAGCTAAGTAGCCCGTGCTATGGAAAGCGTGCGATATTATAAGTCAATGAGCTCCAGGCGTCGTTCTTAGGTTGAACACTATAGTTGAAGCGAAGAGTAAAAGCTGCCTTTAAATCGATTTATAACGATCAGTTCCGTGGAATGGCGACGAAGGTTAATTACAGGTTCGCAAAACGGCACTGAAGTCAAGAGAAAACGCATGCATTCTACGATCGCCTTCTATAGCTTGTTCACAGCACCGTTGCGAAAGTTCTCAAGTTTATTCGCTGTCGGTGCATCTAGTTGTTAGTTATGCGGTCGGCTGAACTCACAGAATTAATACAGCATGCCGATTGACACCCCCCATCGCGAGGCGTGTTGAATTCGCACCGATTAGGCACATTTCAAGGCTTTGGAAAATTAAGCAGAGAAATTTCTTGACCAGTCGTGCATGCAAGTCCAGTGGTGGGCTAGATGGCGTTGTTTGAACTTGTACATTTATCCACATGGTGTTTTTGATTACGCTCGAAAGGCACTGGCTAGACACCCAATTATGCGTATTTAGAATAGTGATCGCGCCATGGGTGCTCTAAACGGGCTTCTTTAACTCACACGGATAATCCGCTATTATCAGTTGAGAATGAGTGAGTGAGGGAGAGAGTCAGTGAAAGAACTAATGAGAGACAGAGAGAAAGAGAAATGTCTATCGGTGCATGACTTGAGTTTGCGAAGGAAAAATATAAGGGGACCCTTCAACCTTACCTCGTATGGACAAATAAATAAATGAAAAAAGCACAATACCGCACTGTTTCGAATAGAAACCGAAACTTTTTTGAAATGAGACATGAAAAATGTATCACACTTTTAATGTCTCGACCTTATGTGTTCAGTAAACAAGAAAAAAGTCAGCCTGTTACACGCCGTGAGCTCCTTAGAACAAGGAAGTTGTAGTGGTGATGATGACGACGACTTTCAGTATAGAAAACGTCATGATCTCTCATCAAAATAATTTCCAGCAATTCACCAACATTAACTCAAGCATCATCATTACCATCATCATCGTCATAACTAACTTTGTTTCATTCGTTTCATTATTAGCCTAATCCTGATCACGTGACCTGCGTGAAGCCTACTACTACTACCACTACTACTATCGCTACTACTACAATTACTACTACCAGTCATAGGCACATTACCAGGAAAAAGTAACAGTGTTACAGTTACAGTTACCAATTTTCTAAAAGTAACTTGTTACAGTTACAGTGAAAAATAGCGTCGTTACTCTGTTGTTACTCTATAATAACTGATTACAAAACAAATGATACATTTTAATAATAAAGACGTAGGATAGAACGCAGGTAGTGAAACTCGCATGTGGTGAAACCTTAGAACGATGCTGCACAGGGCCATAGTTTTGACCTAAACAATGTGTGTGTGTGGGGAGGGGGGGGGGGTTGCTGGAGGCTTTTGGAAACGTGGTTCATTGGCTACGACGCACCGGCTTGCAACAGCAACCCGCGGCCCCCTACCGAACGTTTGCAAGGACATGTGTGACTAATGAACTGATGGACCTCCACTTATTTTCATTTTTTTTGCCAGCGTCTACTGAGGATACCATCTGCACAGGAAGCGAAACGTCAATCACTTTGTTAAGAATTGTTGTGTTAACTCGAAGTCGAGCTTTCAAAATCAGTTACAAACCCGTTTTAAATGCTTCAGGCTTTCAACAGTTTCATGCCGCTGTTTTCTAGCCATCCCCCACACGCGACTTGCTGGAAGCCTCAGACGGAGGAATGCTCCACCGGCGTACCAAGAAAAGAGATAGAAGCTAAAGTGAGAAAAAGCATGTATATATTCCCCTTCCCACCCCCCACCTCCACCGAAAAAGAAAAGCCGAATGGGGGGGGGGGGGGGGGGGTGGACTTGAGGCAAGGTGCTCAGTGGCAACGTTATTGATTTATGACATGTAGTTTTACGAGTAAACATTCTATCCAGACACACTTCGCTCAAAACCAGGCAGATAGGTCTTTGTCAGATATGTTAACTTTTAGACGTGTAGTATAGAAGTAAACTCCGAACTCGGTCTTCTGCAGGGAAGATATTCGTCATAACGACCTGTTGTCTTAAACTGCGATGGGAGTCATGGAAAGTGGAAAGGTGGAGAGGATATTGTAAAGTATAAAGTTCGAAAAAAAAAAAGGAAAGCCTGTAACCTCGGACTTCAACAAGTGTGGCTGTTGGATGACTTTTTACAAAAAAAAAAAAAAAAACAGAAGTAGCTGCAACTATCTTTCGTTACAGTTACCCAATATAAAAGAGTAACAGTGTTACAGGTACAAGTTGCTCTAAATTAAAAGAAACTAGTTACACTTACAAGTTACTGAAAAACGGTAACTAGTTACCAGTAACACGTTACTGGTTACTGCCCAAGACTGACTAATACTAATGATAATAATATTGATGATAATAAAAATGGTTTTATTGCTGCTATTACTACTGAAATTACAACTACACTATGAAACTACTACTACCCTATCGACACTGCTTGCATAGATCGGCAATAAAGTTAGAGCTCGCTGAGACTCCATCAATAAATATATTTTTCTGTATAAGGGCCCACTCAGACAAACACTCACCGAAATTTTCCTCAACCGGACTAACTCGTACTTATATTCACTGAACGTTTTATTAACCAGACTTACTTGTACTCAAACTCACCAACATAGCACTCAGCCGGATCCGCTTGGACTCGACTCATGGCTTGAATCGACTGAGCGAGCCTTAGTGATTGATTGATATGTGGGGTTTAATGTTCAAAACCACCTGATTATGAGAGACGCCGTAGTGGAGGGCTCCGGAAATTTCGACCACCTGTGCTTCTTTAATGTGCACACAAATCTGAGCACACGGGCCAACAGCATTTTCGCCTCCATCGAAAATGCAGCCGCCGCCGCCGGGATTCGAACCCGCGACCTGTGGGTCAGCAGCGAACTACCTTAGTCACTACACCACCGCGGCGGCGCAGTGAGCCTTAGTGAGTCTACTTATGAGTCAATTTGCGTAAAATTATCATTTTCGAGCATATGCTCTGGCGGTGCCCCTTGTTACTGGGCAGCCATAAAGTCAACATGGCCTAATGGGGCTCCGCCGTTAGAAGTCCCAACAAGGGGGATCAGCTTTGAGTCGTCCGGAGAGCCCACGGTGAGGTGGTTAGGCTTAGCCTGCCTATCCCAACGTGGGAGAAGCTCAGGACTACAAATAAAGTTCCTCCATTCATCCAATCATGACGACGGTGCTTTCCCTTCAGTACCAAGATAAGTTGTCGCCGCTTTTTCCGCTGCGTATAACACCTCCGAGACAACTGAATATTAAAGCATTCCCATCCCGCAAATGATACTCAAAGACCCGATATCAGGGAGGAAGGGGGGGGGGGGGGGGCTTTTCGCTGCCTTCACCATATTTCTTATGTAGGCTTCACTGTTTCTAAGGCTGTGGACTTCGCTGCGCTGCATGGAATTAATGCTACTGGGGATGCGTTCAATGTCACCACATCCCCTCCCCCCCCTCCTGATATAAAGCAGACCGACACTTCACAGCCTTTTCTCTGTTGTGACCTTCTCGTTTTCGTCTTTCTACATAGATTTGCCCGAAACGCGGAAAGTGCGTAGATATCCCACCGTCTTTTCTATTCAACTGGGGTATCTCAACATACGGGCTGCTGGAACGTGTGCTTTTGGTTTTAGTTATCGTTACTTTTTTTTTTCGCTCTTTGTACACGACTGCTCTGTAGTTCGTGAAATGGGGCGCAACGCCTCGATGCGAAGGTTTATAAAGTAGACGTGGAAGAAGGACTGTGTGCATTTTTTAGGGGCGAAGCTCCTTATAGCGGCACCCGTTCGTTCCCTGTAGTATGTAACAAGTATAACATTTGACCTCCAAAGTGGTGCCGGTGAGAGACTTCTTCTGTGCGTTGTTGAACAATAAAAATAGTGCTTAATGTACATGTCAATGGCTGCTAATGGGGAATGAGAGACAGGAGCATTCGGCTTTTAGTTAACGCGCAGGCTGCGATCACCATTAGCAGCCATTGGCATGTACATTGAGCGCTATCTGACAAGAAAGGGTTGCTACGCTATACTCGCTTGGTGTAACCTCCTTAGCTTTTGGAAAGGTTTAGCGAGCGTTGAGCCGCAGTGCCATGAATACAATGAACTTGTATATACCATGAATGAACTCGAGGTGGTTAAAAATGGGAAGTAGATACGAAGCGCAAGCCGTAAGAAAGTGTGCGTGTGCCACCTCTCGTTTAGTCCTTGGAATGTCCGTTGGATGGCGGTGCTTCTGTATGGGGAATATATGATGAAAAGATGCGAGATGGTGGTACTTGGAGTGTTGAATAGATGGACGAACGGACACATAGACAGATGCATGGATGGACGCATGAACGGACGCAGGGGCGGCTGCATGGACGAACGCAGGGACGGACGCACGAACAGACGCACGCACGGACGGGCTGATGGACGCATGGACGGTCACACTGACGGACGCATGGACGGACGGAAGCAAGAACGATTGGACGGATGAATTCTTCGCCCTGCTCTCGATCATTCACTCCGTGGATATGCTGCCATTTTTTGCTGTGCTCCGACACCTTTCTGAAGTTTGAAATACCATGCGGCGCTGTCGGAGTATACGGTCGACTTTTTCCGATAATACCCTTCACAGAAATTCGAGGAGTGTGTCTCGTCACACACGATTCACGGCTCAGTGTTCGTGTGTCGGCAGCACGGTGTAAGAATAAGTTATTCTCTCTTTTCTTTGTTTCTTTTGTTCGGGGTAACCTTAGGGATATAACAATAATAGAGAGTATCAGTGCTGGGTTTATGATACAACAAGCATATAGAGAGTATCAGTGCTGGGTACCCAAAGCAGACTGCGGACCCAAGCTCTTGCGTTCCTTTGCATTCTCCGTGGGTGCAGCTGGGAGTACAAAGGAACGCAAGAGCGTGCGTACGTGGAAGGCTGGAGGTCCTTGGCCCTAAACCTTTCTAGTATCTCAGGTTTAGGTTCCAAAACTACGATATGGCTAAGAGAGATGCCTTGGTGGAGGGGTTGGAGAATTTCCGACTATCTGGTGTTCATCGTGCACTGACATCACACAGAAGTACAGTGCCCGGAAATTTCAGGGATAGGGTTATGGGTCGATGGCTTCCACGGCGTGAAGCTGGCACGTCGGCGTCCCACGGCGTCGTGGACGAGCGATGCTAAAAGTCAGAATCGCGTGGAGAAGGCATCGGATGAAGCTGCAATGACGTCATGTTTCGTCGGAACTTGTGAAGTCGTGATGACGTCACCAAGACAACATTGTTACGCCACGTGTCATAACGTCACAGTATAACGTCACCACGTGATATCGTAGCTCAGTCAAACCATGATCCGATCGCGGAGGCAGTGCAAAAGCTGGTGAGGTGCCTCCGATCTCGAAAGCAGTGCAAAACCAGGTTTGTAGCTTGAAGCTTTCGAGGGGTGGCAGGGCAGCATCAATGCATCGAAGGAGAAAAGATAAAGAAGGCTGTCACCTTCAAATAGGCTTAAGTGAACGCACACGGGCCCCTTGGAGTTTTCACGGATCTCCATCGCATCAGTAGGTGAGGCAATGTAAGAAGAGGTTCGCAAAAAGGTCTGTCTTTATCTACTCGCAATTCTTTGGGGTTGCAGTCATTGAGTGACCTGCTTTTCGAGCCTCATTTCTTCCCGCCCCTTCCGCCGAACTTCACTCTTACCCGTCCCACAGAGGTACCGCTTTCCTCTTTTCCACCAGGCCCTTATCAGCGCGGCGCAACACTTTCCCTCTTTCCACCGGGCCTCGCGCACGTCTTCTGAGATTACCGGCCAGCGCGCTATCTCACGCTCGCGCTCACAGAGTTTCCTACATATACACTCGAGGAAATTCTGGCGCTAGTGTCTATGGCAGCTGCTACGCACGGATACTTTAGCCAGCACAAATTTGTCTTGGCTTCGTTTGTCCTCGCGTGGCCTGGAGCCGCTCTGTCCCGAGACGAGTATCGGCAAAATGTTCAGCTGTTGTGCTTCACCACCATGACCTTGTAGTCTCACTAATTCAAATCGGCTCACTAAGTCCACAGTGGTCTATTCGAAACGAATCCAAAACACAGCAACAAACAATGTCACAAGTGTGTGAAACCACAAGCAGAAAGATCAGGCAAACTTGCTCACTACGTATCATTCCCATGGTGGGTGGACGATCGCAGCGCCAGGGTCCCCTCTAATGTAAGAAAACCCCATTCTCGCGGTTGCCCCTCAGGTAACGAGGATTACGCCATACGACGTCAACGGGTCAGAGTCAGCTAATGCCGTTTTGCCGTTGAAACATAATCGGTGGAACACACGTAGTTCCTCTAAAGCAAAGGCTTAGCATATTCTATTAGACAGAAGGAAGACGCGAATATGGGTAGAAAAAAGTTAAAAAAAAACTACGTAGCCCCAAGGTTGTTTTTATACAACGTGACTGTTCTCTTAAATTATGCACGCGCATTGCGAAAAGCTGCTTCATTAAACATGAGCTACTTCATAATCAAAAGATAGGGAGAAAAAAGACTCGACTGCTTACCGTTAATTGGTGAAAACGGTTTCCTTTTGTGGGAATTAACATCGCGAGAACAAAAGCAGAAAAAAGAATGTGGAGTGGTCTCTCCCTGAGCACGGCGTTGGACGACCAGACGAGACAATGCATAAAAGCAGCACAGAATTGGGTAATAATGAAAAAAAGTGAAAAGTGATGGCTCTGCCTTCGTTTGCTGTTTCGGCCTAATTAACTTCTGAATAAACGAGTAAGGCATTTCAATCAGCGAGACTAGTCAGTACCACTCAAAACTAAAAACCCATGCGCGACGCGTGGTCGGTGATGTTTTCGTCATTCGCCATTTAAGCCGTCTCTTTCGTGCACCCGGAAACACATGGTGCGGGAACACTGCGTCGACGCGCGAAACTTCGGTAACGGTTAATCTCAACTTAAGTACTCGGTGAACAAGAGATTAGCTTAAGCACTCCAATAAAGATGGATTAAATTATTTCAGGCTCGCCTTCACGCACTGCTTTCTCAATAGCGACAACTCACCTGCAAGATTTAAGCTCTTACCAATCTTACCTTCTAGACAAAACGAGCTGTCTGCAACGTTCTGGTTGATGATAGATAGGTGAAGTTTAACGCACAAAAACCACCATATGATTATGAAAGACGCCGTAGTGGAGGGCTCCTGAAATTTCGATCACTTGGGGTTTTTTAACGTGCACCCAAATCTGAGCACACGGGCCTACATTATTTCCGCCTCCACAGAAAATGCAGCCGCCAAAGCCGGGATTCGATCCCGAGACCTGCAGGGCAGCAGCCGAGTACCTTAGCCACTAGACCACCACGGAGGGGCAACGTTCTGGTTCTTGTTGCTTCTGTTGTGCTCGTGAAAGGCTCCCAACGCAAAAAAAGAGAAAGAACACCGACAAAAGGAGAATGATAACTTGTCTCGTCTCGGCTGTACCAGATAGCCGAGACGAAATTGGGCATTTTCGCGCTTGGTGTGAGGTACTGTCTACAACAGTTTCTGTTCAGGCTTCAACCATCCATTCCATGAGCACGGAAAACAACTGCACTGAACAGTATACCGGAAGATTCAAGTTTGAGATGCACGGTTTGCCCGCCGAGCGCAACGAGAACCTCAGATCCACACTTGGCAAAGTTGC